CCGGAGACGACAGGGCAAATGGGGCCTGGGCATGGCCCGAAGGCCAGCTTACTTGTACAAGGACCAGACTGTATTACTTTGTTTATGTGACTGCCTGACTTTTGGCAGTCACTTTAGAATTTGTCTAGCTCCTGTACATGTGGACTGGCCTTCGGGCCACTCTCAGATCACATTAGCCCTGTCGTCTTCGGAATACATGTATTTGACCCCACTTATTTTTTTCTACTACCCTATAGGAAACCTCGGGACGATACACAGACAAATTCCAAGGTGACCCTTGAACATCAGGTAGCCACATAAACATAACAGTAGAGCAATTTCCAATTTTTTCGACATTCCTTATAGATCCCACCTAAGAAAGCATCCTTTTGAGAGAACATCAGGGAAGGGCTAAATCAAAATTGAGTAAAACGCTATGATGCTGTTTAAAATTAAGTCTACAAAGGAAGTTCGATTTAACGGCTTAGTGCAGCAGCAATCCACAAAATTTAAACTGCCATTCATTAAAATTGTCATCCAAGCAAATCCGAAATTGCACTTAATTGAACAATTGGCGGAAGGTTCAATACTTGTCTTTTTACGCCATCGCATTTGGCAGTCTGCGTTTAAACAAGAAGGTGAAAAGAAAATGGACAGGGTCAAGCCCAAACTTTGTTTTTGTGAAAGGACTTTTCTCTAACCTTCGTCCCTTCTATCCGCATCCAGCAGTGGTCTCGAGGTTTGATAGCACCATAATTGATACTGCGTTAAGGGAGCACTTCAGCCGCTTAAATTCCTCTGTGTGTTTGATTTCTTAGTTAAACTCCCATTTCACTTGTTTCTCCGTAGTGGACCAGTGCTCTTGACAGAACCCTTAGAAATATACCGACAGAAGTTTACCAGGCTAAGGAACCTGAAGAATTCTGCTTGATAAATGAATGCCGGTTACAGTGTAAATTGATGTGCCCGGTCTTTCGTAACCGCTGGAGGAAAAGATATTGCTTTAAATTCAATGTCACCAGCAGGAGTATAAAGTTATGCTTGTGGATATTTTTATCAAAAGTGACAATATATCGATGTTGGTAATGTAATGCTTTGTTTATGTGATTGCCTGAAGTTTGGCGGTCTGTTTAGGATTGGTCTGGCTCTTGTAAACGTGGAATGGACTTCGGGCCATGCTCAGAGCCATTTGCCCTGTCGTCTTCGGAATGCGTGTATACAGCTGCACTTACTGACTTCTTATACCGGTCAGGAAGTCTCGGGACGCTATAGGTAATGTAGTGCTTCGGGAAGCCAGCCCGCAGTGCTGTCTGTATCAGCCAATGGGATGTAACCACGATGTTGCACAGTCCAAGTGGCAGATGTCGCCAGTACATTTTCTAAGCCAAAGAGACAAACTCTCTTCTTCGAATTCGGATACGTTAACCATCCTATCACCATGACGTAGGAATACATATTCCAGTATCACATCTCTGGTAAGGTCTGGGCACTGAGTGAAATTTGCTCAACTCTCCTTTCTGATCATTATTTCAACGCGACACTCGGTGGGCCAGTTCTGCAACTGGAGGATTTATCTGTGTCATTACAAACCGTTGGAAATTCTTATAGGTTCAATAACGACCTGGCCGTCTCTGAGTCCAGAAGAAAAGTACATATGTTTTTAAAGGGGAATTCTCAAAATCCTTTATAATAGAAGGGTTAGTAGAAGCATCGGGAGTAGTACTGCATCAGGATCCCTTCCGCCGCATCCACGCATAGGTGCTGGAGATGATGACGCGAATCTTCCCCCACATGGCACTGCATTTTATAACATTTTCCTTATTAACCATCTATTTCAAACCGATATTCTACCATATATTCCTGGACACAATTGATGGTCAACAAATCTCCTCCCTATGATTCCTGTTACCAGACCAAACGTAACCCTAGATCAAGTTGAAGGTGCTAAGAGAGGCCAGGTACAGTTTCTCAATCTCATGGTAGCTGGTGATCGTCGAGGAGGAACTGGAGGTGAACTGAGGGAGGAGTTTTAAAGACGTCGCTGATTATGAAGGAGCTGTAGCGTCTCGAGGCTTCCTACAGGGTGGAAGAAGGCAGTAAGTAAAGCTGGATATATGCATTCCAAAGAGGAAAAGCAAATGGGCCTGAGCGTGGTCTAAAAGCCAGTCCGCAAGTAAAAGAACCAGCCAAATCCTAAAGTGATCGCCGAGCGTCAGAGGCAATGCAAGTTTTCGTCATGTGTCCGCCTGCATGGCTGGCGGTTATATAATATCCATTTTTCCCAAACCTGTGTGGACTGGGGTTTGGGTTGAGCGAAACTCAATAATCTTACGCTTTGTCTTCAATATGACCCCAGATCTAGTCGACGCTGCTCAGAGGGTTAAGTGCAAACTCTCATTATAATTGCAGCCATTATATAGCACAGGATTCTAAACGAGGACGGCTCATGGACGTCAATTAAAAAGGAGAGTATCAATGAATATTTTTTCGGTAACTTCTGTCACTGGCGGTCAGTTCGGTATTCATCTTGCGATCATCTGCGTAGGCTAGTCTTCGGCCAAATCTGTATTGCTTTGCTTATGTGATTACCTGACGTCTGGCGGTCAGTTTAGGATTTGTTTGACTCCTATACACGTGGGTTGGCCTTCGGGCCAAGCTCAGGCCCATTTGTCCTATTGCCTTCAGGATGCATGTCTCCAACTGCATTGGTTGACTTCTTTTATCGGTCAGGAAGTCTTGGGATGCTACAAAATCAAAGCCAACCTCCCTAGTTGTATTCACACCTTAATCTTCGAAGTGAAATGTGTCGAAATTCACACCTTGCAGCGTTATGCCCATGGGTGATTTAAACTGTCATTATGGCGACAACGAAGTGTCCTGGCTCTTTATATGGTTAGTAATAATGCGTGGATCAGCCATAATTAAAGTAGTATAATTCAAATGCACAAAGACAGCACTAAGCTCGACGGGTATGAATAATGTGGTCAGTGTATTTAATCAACGACTTTACCCTCGATAAAAAGTAAAGGCTTCTTTATGCATGTTGGAATCGTTTACATGCTAAGCTAGCATCATATATAAGTTTGTCTTAAAATTTTCGAAGAAAATGGCTGGATTAAGTGATAGTTTTGTTTTAATGCGTAAATGTTTCACTCCTCGGCGCTCTTACATAGGTTCCAATACATTGAGCAGGTTGTTTTCCTGAGCATTGTTTTGTATGTTGTGTGAATGCATGCCTTTCCACTGTTTCTATCTGAATAAAAGCCTTTGGTGTAGCTGGCTAAACTTGTCACGTCACTTTTTTTGCATTGTTCCTGTGTAAATCGGTTCTGAAAAGCTAGTATTCGGTGTAATTTTGCTGTAGATGCGTAAAGTCATTTGTTATACTTTGCGAATTGAATGCTTTAGTTGGTTCATGGGTTATTTGTGATTCTCCATCACTTCGGCCCTGTGCAGCTCACTTATTTTCTCGCCTTGTGATATAGTGTTTAGGTGCGGATGCCTATTACTAGTGTGTTGTTTCTTGTGGTAGTCATATAATGTGTCTTCTTATGGTAGAAAACTGAAGATATGTCGAAATGCGATCCTTTTCGCTCAAAAACAGAATTCAAAGGAAAAAAGCAGAAACGATCACAGGGTTCATCACATTATCGGCCGAAGGCACCAACGGAACTGACACCTCTTCCTCCCCTCAGAGATGCCCCCGCGAACGAACAGCAGGAATTATTCATAAAAAAACTCCAACAATGCTGTGTTGTTTTTGACTTTTCTGATGCTCTCACGGACACGCAGAGTAAAGAAATCAAGAGGACGTGCTTGAGTGAGCTAGTGGAATATGTCACCGTTACTCGGGGCGTTCTCAACGAAAATACTTATCAGGATATTATTAGGATGGTATGCTAACCAATTGTCTTTACACTTTTTTTGAGTCGCATGCTATGGTTCTGACCTGGTATCGCAGGGTTCTCCTTTTATGTTTTTTGTAGATTGCATGTAATATATTTCGAACATTGCCTCCATCTGATAATCCCGACTTTGATCCGGAAGAGGACGATCCTGTACTTGATTCTGCCTGGCCTCATCTCCTTTATGTCTATGAGTTTTTTCTTCATGTTCTTGAGTCTACTGAGTTCCAGCCCAGCATTGCCAAGCGCTACATTGACCACAAATTCGTGCTACAGCTTCTGGAACTGTTCGATAGCGAGGATCCCAGAGAACGTGACCTTCTTAAGACTGTTGTACACCGCATTTACGGGAAGTTTCTCGGTCTTCGTTCTTTTATCAGAAAGCAGATCAATAATATCTTTCTGCGCTTCATTTATGAGACCGAACAATTTAATGGAGTCGGTGAATTGCTCGAAATTCTCGGTAGCATTATTAATGGGTTCGCTCTCCCACTTAAATCAGAGCACACACGATTTCTCATAAAAGTCCTCATTCCGCTTCACAAGGCCAAGTCATTGGGGATGTTTCACGCCCAAGTGAGTCTTTGCATAACTACAGTTTGGGCCATTTCAGCCCTCCTTTACCCATCGTAGTAACCATTTTTGTGACTGTACCATTTGTTTATTTCGGTATATTTTACTCAGGACAAATAAATTTAGAGTGGGTTTGGTGATTCATTCCATAACAAGTTAGTGTATAGTTACTATTATCGCAAGCGCATTTTTCATTTAGGAGCACTGGACATGCATAAGTTATAGCAAAGACGTCCCACCAACATTTGCGAAGATAATAAGTTTTCAGAGCCTAACATTAGCAGCGAGGTTTTTGTATTGAGATGTTGCTGCTTGGAACCGCGAACTCTTAAATGTATTATTCTCTGCGAACGTTTGGATCTGGAGCTATTATTATATAAATACCTCGTTTTTTATCCAATGGAGGATAGTTATTTTGTACTAAATAAGTGATTTCATTACATAGTGATTTTTTATGTTCCATTTGTTGTGTAATTTGGTCAGCGTAATCCATGTATACCAGGGTAGTCTGTTTATCATGGTAGTTTACATTCATGAAAGTGTTTGTGTGAAAGTTGACAAGCATTCCTATTCATAGCTGCTGTCGTTTTGGCATCTAAAACCCGATGATTCTGGTTTTCATTAGTCGGGATTATAACTACTTATTTGAAATTTATTTACAATTTCTTCGGATTTTATTCAGCTAGCCTACTGCGTGGTGCAGTTTCTTGAGAAGGATTACAGTCTCACAGAGGAGGTCGTTAAAGGGCTGCTCAAATTCTGGCCCAAAACATACTCCCAAAAGGAGGTTATGTTTCTTGGTGAAATTGAAGAGATTCTCGATATAATTGATCCGACGCAATTCAAGAAGATTATGGTGCCTCTCTTCCGTCAGATTGCCAAATCCGTATCCAGCTCCCACTTCCAGGTAAATTAGTCCCAATTCCTTCGTCTTGCTTCCTTCGGCAAATGATAATCATTATAGCATCAACTGACGTACGTAGCTCGTGTTGAAGAGCAGCATTTTTTCATGAAGCAAAACTCGAATGGATTTGTTCACGATCTTTAAAAGTGGGCCAAGAAATAGCCACTGCTTTAAACTCGGTTGCCTAGTTTATTGATCGTCAACCAACTTTTGCGGCCCGAGGTTTTCTCACCTCTGCTGAGGTTGCTGACCTATGAAAGGGATCCAGTTTTATGGCTTTGTTAGGATTCTTCAGTCCGGCGACAGTTTTGATGCTCTGGCGTCCTACCTTTTATAATATTCCAGTTTTTTTTTTCATTTACACCCCTTGTTTACTGTTTGTAACATCCATAACCTCGGACTCAGTATTTTTTGAAATCATTTATTCGCTATTCTTCCTGATTACAATTTTGGTCGATTTTCTCCCTCACTTAACCTGCCATTTCCTGATGCATCACATTCGGATCGAGAAATTTAGTCCAGCGTCTAGTTTCGCTCAGAATTTGCCGACATCCAGACGCCTATGAATAGGATAAGTGCGCCCATTTCACTGCGAGTGCTCGCCGATGTGTAGGTACGGTTGCCTTACTTGCGGTCTTAGCTCTCGCTCTCTCATTTTGCAAAAGCCATCTCTTCCTCTACGTTCTGTAGTACCGAATTTATTCTGTTTATGGGTTCGGCGAGTGTTGCTGCGTTGCATTCTTCTGAACGATGGACTATCTCCTCTCCCTTTTTGTTTGTATGCCACCGGTTTTTCAACATCACACTTAGACATCACTATCCCTATTCCTACAATTAACCAAGTGCTCGCCTATGAAAAGCCACCTATTTCATTGTGGTGCACACAAAATTGTTTGCTAAATTCACCCCGATTCCTTATTGCGAATTCCATTGAGCTGTATTATTACGACCTCGTTTCTTTTTTCAATAGTCATCCAAAACGTTATTTTCATTTTCACTCCTTTGGTTCTGCCATAGTTTTAATTTATTAATGAACGTCTCCATTATAACATCATTTTCCATTCCTCCGGTCTTCCGTAATGTTCTATGACTTTCCTCTGAGGTCGTTCTGAATGTGATGTGTTGTTTCGTCTGTGATCAGCCTATTGCTAAGCCATACTGGGCACCACTTTTTTTAGGTAAGTGATTTGACATTCGCTTATGCCCATGGAAATAGGCTTTTCTGGTTGCGTGGCTTCTTATTGCAATGTAAATGGTATTTAGCAAACGTGTTAAATCGTAGTTACTGTGAAGTTATTTTTTCGCGTTACCTATGAAGCTTCAAAAAACGCGCTATGCTGTATTGTCGTGCTGCCTCATCCCAGGTGTCTACATTCGTTGAATATGTTGCCTCTTTCGGTGACTCATTGGGAGATGTACGTGCGCACATGGCTTGGCAACCTCCATGCACGTTCCCTTGTCAATTTCGATAACAACAACTAAACTAGTGAAATAAATTATTTAAGCACACGAGCTTGGATTCTGTTGAGTTCGTTATCAATGCAGTTCTGGTAAAAGCATATACCGGTCAAATTGATTTTTACAAAATTACAATCGGACTCTTCTGTTTGATAGTGGACACTTAGCAGTTCCGTAAATTGTGGATGAGTATAAACGCAAATCTGCTTCTGTGCTTTCATTTTAGGCTCCGCTTGTGTTTTCGCCTTGGTTGTTCACATTGATTTATTCCTTCACGATTGCAGGTGGCGGAGCGGGCTCTGTACTACTGGAACAACGAATACCTTGTGTCTCTTATTGAAGAAAATAATGAGGTTCTTCTGCCCATTCTTTTTCCCTCTTTTTACCGGATTTCAAGAGAGCACTGGAATCAAACCATCGTCGCACTAGTTTTCAATGTTCTCAAAACATTCATGGAGATGAATCCCGTTCTCTTCGATGAATTAACCAAAAACTACAAAACTGAGCGGCAAAAGTACGTCCACTGTTTGGCCATAAGACTAACTTTTGCATTTTGTTGCCAGCGTCTCGATTAATTGAGCATTTGGTAAGTCTAAATGCTTTGGTCAGATTTATCTTGTAAATCGATCAGGTGCACACCTAGGTATGGTAATAGACGCGTATTTTTTCGTTTGCGTTCATTATATTGTATTAGTATGCGTATCGAAGATTGTAATTGTAATTTTTTTGCTCATAGCTGAAACCTATCAGATTTGAATTCATCGCGTCTTACACGGTAAAATCGTTTATACTCTCCTATCTTATCATCTATTAAACTTTGCTGTTTTTGTCGAAGATCGGAATGTTTTGGGCAATGGTGCGCGACTAAATATTTTTCTATACTATTTCCTCGGGTAACTTTACACGCTTCCCTACAAAATCATGCGTAATCCATCAGGGCGATGACGTGCATTCGAGTCCATACCAACGTCATGGTGTAGCTTTAACAAAATCTTGTCGAATGCTTGGAGCATTCTGTTCTTGAGGCGATATCTATACAGAAGGAATTATATTAGCTCCAACGGTATCACAATGGGCTGGCTTTGTGTCATACACGATAATGTTGCTTCTGAAAACTGATTGTGTTTATACCAGTCTAAGTGCAATTGAGCCTCGTTCATCCCCCATTTTCTCTAGCAGACGAAAACCATGCGGACGTTTTGTTTTTTTGGGTTTCAGGGAGAGGCGACGAGAGAAGGAAAGGGATGATCTTTGGAGGAGGTTGGAGCAGCTAAACTTGTCTGGTTCTGGCGACGACAATGTCAGTGGTGGCAGTGGCGCACCGTTTTGTGGCCCTACCGACAGCATTGGTGGCGCCAGTGGCAGTGGTGAGGACGGTATTGAACAAGTTGAAACTGCCAAGTCCGCTGCTGGTGATCTTCCATCGAACAATTCCTCCTCGATTCTCTCTTCTGCCGCAACCGCCCCTCCTACAAAGGTCTAACCTGCCTCCTACTGGTCGCCATCACACCTGTATATCTGAAATTGATTTGATGACCTTATGCTTCCTGTACAATATACGTTCTGAAAGTTTACCACCATCGTAGACTGGCATTTCCACTAATTTTCCTCCTTCTCACGGAACACGTGCATGAGCTTAGTTCGTTCTCTTATCCCCTTGGCACCTATCGCCATGAAATTTTCGCTGCTCTTGTTATTTTAGCTATTTGTGCATTCAGACAAATGCGTCTGCAAAAGTTCTCTTTTTACTTTCTCCCTCTATACACTGACGTCGCGGTGCTGTGAAGACACGGTAGTGTCATTTGTCATTTTGGTGGTTAGTAATTAAAGCACTGATCTATGCTGTGGTCCTGTTCCTCGGGTGAGGTGCATGTCTCTTTTCGCTTGCTTTTGTGGTACATCTACACCACGCATTTACAATCTCATGTAGGTCAGACGTTCTTTGTGTCCTCTGGGTTGCTCTTGGTGTTTGTTGTCCTGAGTTAGGAGACATCATGTTTTGCAACTAGAATCTAGTATAGTACTGATTTGGTTTTGCTAGATTGAAAGCACATTCGGGGGTCCGGTGGCATGCATCCTGTGGGTGCTTCCTGTGCCCGTGCTTGCATGGCCGTCCGGACCGAGGGAAGAACCGCGAACACAATTGAAATGCAGACAGTCGGTATGGTCTGCGACCATATTTGTGTCGCTCGTGGGAGGTGATATTTATCTGTGTATTAAATTAGAACTCATTCAGGTCTGGGTGGTGTTATCCAGCGCTCAAATTTCTACAGTTGGTGGGAGAATGCATAAAGCTCAGTGAATGGAACATGCCTATACGACTCAAATTGCAAGTCGTGTTGCTTAGCGGTAGCAAAATGTATAATGTAAATATAAATCCACTAGTTTTCTAGCATAACGTATTGTCCGGTGCCATGGTTCTCAAAACTCATAAGAACAAACTGTTGTCAAATAGTAAATACATGTGAATGCAAATGCATTTAAAGCATTTTTAGGAGTATGAACTTGAAGTGAATCGAACTTAAGAGAATATAGTATAACCTTTTGTTTTAATAGATGCAATCTCAATGTGTAATTAGTTGAGGACCTTGGCGTTTCCTCGAGATTCCCTTGCGTTCGGGCTTTTTATGATGGTGGTGTAGCCTGAGGATTCCACTCACACTTGTATGAAAGCTCGGCGCAAATTTACGATTGTAGTCCTTGGGAGTGGCGGTGTTGGCAAAAGCGCCTTGGTTGTCAAGTTTGTTTGTGGCAAATTTGTCGATAAGTATGACCCAACTATCGAAGACTTTTACCAAAAAGAAGTCAGGTAGAGGTTATTATCTTACTATCATTCCTGTCATAAACTAATTTTGTTAAATTTACGTTTGAGCAAAGGTGCATTTTTTACACCACCTAGGTTTGGAAATATTTTATGCCTTCTAGTTTTGCAGGTATACCGAGGACACTTCGTATCCTAGATACAGCTGGAACTTCTCAGTTCTCTTCACTTCATGACCTGTACATAAAAAATGGTGATGGATTTCTTATTGTCTATAACTTAGTCAATCGCCAAACCTTCAACGACATTCGTAATATGCGAGAAACCATCCTGCGTGTAAAAGGTCTTCCTCCCACCGCGTTTGTGCCCCTAGTTCTTGTGGGCACAAAAGCTGATCTGTACAGGGAGTCAAATGATAAATGTTCTGCTCTTTGTGATCCTGCAAATCTGGCAGATGAGTGGCTCTGTCCCCATATTGAAACTTCGGCGCGCAACAATATAGGTGTGGAAGATGTTTTTATCGAGCTCCTTTCTCAGGTTAGTATCCTGTATGCTAACGTACCAGAAGTTTGTAGAACAACTCACTTATTAGGTGATGTACGGTGCTGCAGTATGTAGAAATCCTTACTTTACTATATGTCTCTGAACATATGACCAATCTAGCTCGGTTATGTTTAAACAACGGGATATGCTTATTTTTTAACATGAATCCATCTTTATTCTATTATGTTTTTCCAGCATAGTGGCTCTTATCATGTTTTGTACTTAATGTTACGGATACATTTAATTGGTCCATTTGCTTAAATCTAAAAGTGTGTAGTGTAGCGTGTAGTGTGTACGTGCTTACTTATGCTATGTAATAATGGGATGTAGTAGATCCATCAGCAAATGGTTCAATGTCTCTTGTATGCTGCCAGATTTTTACAATCATATTTATGCCTACAAATGCTCCGTCTTCCATTAATAGGCTCCTCTGAGTTACTGCAAAAGACATTTGGTTAGGGTGCAGACCTCCGTTTAGGTTTTTCTACTGGCCCTTTCCAGCCCATAGTGTTTTGAACTTATTCCTATTGAATATATGTACAAATCGCTTACATAATCCTACTTACATTTTAATGGCACTTTTATTATCCCAAAATTTTACAAAATTTACCGACAATCATCACGGTCTTGATGTTACTTAAAGTGAATTCATAAAACTAAATCCACTTTTCAGAAGTTTTGAAATCGATCCATTGACATTGTGACTCAAGGGCTATGCTTGACGTCTAGCGTTCACTTCATCTGTGTAAATTATTATTAAAAACCAACAATGTTTCTCTCTTTTTTTTCTCCTCAAGCGTTCTCTAGCAATTTTTTTTGTTTTTTAGCTCCATCCTAAAATTTTGTAAATCTCAACATCTTTCCAAAAACATCAACCGCTCGTGTTAAACAACTTTTGGTGTCATTTATCTTCAAAATTTCCATAACTTTTGTTGGATATTCTTCCCAGTACTGACTTTAAGATGTTTCCATCCACCTATCCGTTTATCCTGAAATGAACCGGATTTTAAGGAGCACTATTGCCCTAGAGAAGTTCCTAATTCCCGTAATTGGCTATAAATTTTCCTGATTTGTAAGTATTCCATTGATAGGAGTTTGCAAAAATTGCTCTATTTAGCTGCTAAGGCGTTTTGTCATTAAAAGATCCCCTAGGCGGTGGCTTAAGCTTGTAAGCATTCCCTCAAGGATCCTACTTTTCGGTCTCAGCAAAGCTTTTGCTTTTTCCTATGGCGTACAACAGTTCATTCTTGAATTCGGCTGAATGATGATCATAGAAATTTTAGCACAGAAATTTTCTTTAGAATATCGACAATTTATTTTTTCAGCTTGCATGTACAGGCTTTCATCATTTTATGCACCCACATGAGACATTCATTCTGCCTCAATTTTCATGTACTTATTTAAATATCTGTCTTGACAAGGGCATTTTCGAAGTGTCACTTGCTCCTCCCAACGCATTAAATTATCTTATCTAGGCCAGGTAGGTTTATGGCCAGCTATGGAGAATTTCGAGACGTAATTGTAGCTGTGTAAAGTCCATCGGGAATGTAGGAGGAACCATCCTTATACTCTCCCTTGCTTCCATTGCAAATTAAAAAGGCTTGTTGCATTGGCTGAATTATTTTT